TCTATCTTTTGTGAAGATGGGGTCTCGTTGTTGATCAGACTGGTCTTGAACTCCTGGCTTCAAGCAATTCTCCCACCTCAGCCTCCCAAAGTGCCAGGATTACAGGCATGAGCCACTACGCTCAGCCTGGAAAAAGTCTTATAATTTAGAGATTAAGAATGCTGACTGCGTAAATGGACTGCCAACAATCAAATTTTGTCTCTACCTCCTAGTAGCCAGGGGACTTCAGACAAGTTACTTATGCACTTGGTACCTTAGTTTCCTCCTTTGTATAACAAGGATAATACCTACTTCATAAAATTGCTGTAATTATTAAATGAGATAATACATTTAGAATAGCTGGCACATATTGTTAAATGTTAGATGTTATTATTGTTAGTATGAATTAATTCATGATGTCAATGGCTTAATTAGTATTATCCTTTCAAAAGTATTTTCACCGGGCGCGGTGGCTCACGCCTGTAATCCTAGCACTCTGGGAGGCCGAGGCGGGCGGATTGTTTGAGCTCAGGAGTTCGAGACCAGCCTGAGCAAGAGCGAGACCCCGTCTCTACCAAAATAGAAAGAAATTAATTGGACAGCTAAAAATATATAGAAAAAATTAGCCGGGCATGGTGGTGCATGCCTGTAGTCCCAGCTACTTGGGAGGCTGAGGCAGTAGGATTGCTTGAGCCCAGGAGTCTGAGGTTGCTGTGAGCTAGGCTGACGCCATGGCACTCACTCTAGCCAGGGCAACAAAGTGAGACTCTGTCTCAAAAAAAAAAAAAAAAAGTATTTTCATGTTAACAGTGTATAAGGAATGAACCTCCAATGCTGGGTTTTACATTCGTTCATTTATTCAACAAATATTTATTGAACTCTAGTCCTATATACTAGGCACCACTGTAAGCACCAGCGTGCTGTGGTGAAAAAGGGAAGCAAAAGTTCTGCTCTCATGAAACTTATATTCTAATTACATCATTGGAGCCATAACTTACTTTGTCCTTTCAACTACAGTGAAAATGTCGAGGGAAATAAAAAATGAAGAAACGATGAAAAAAAGATATAAATTCAAATAATTTATCTGAAAAGACGGAGACAGTTTCCAATATAAAGACTAGTCAACAAACTAGGAAAGTGTAGCCTGGCATATAGTAGGAACTTAATAAATGTGTCCATTCCTTTCTCTGGGTTTGTTTCCTTAAATGGCAGGCATCGTGTGGTCATGTTTCCAACTGAACACTCACTGATGTCTACTTACTGAAGTCATCATAGCACATTAGGCAGCATTCTTAAAAACAGATGGCTCTACAAGGTGTGGGTGGAAAACCCAGACTCCATTTAGCTCAGGCCCTGCATTTCAGAAGGGCCTTAAATGTGCTTTTTTATTGTTACATCTAAATAAAATCAACTATACAACCCCAGAAATACTGGATAGCACTGATAGAAATGTTACCCTTGTACCCCATTACAGTATTATACCACCAGGGGTTTAATATTTTAAATAAGTCTTGTAACTAATCTAGGAAAAAAAGATAGCTCCATAGGCAGTTTTCACAAATCAAGGATTCAAATTTTACTAGTTTTGGAATTAAACACACCCAAGGTGTCACAGCCTAAGTTAACTCAAGGAAAAGGGCTCAGTTTTTGAAGATCAACCACTACCTGGCACTGTGCAAATCCCTATTGTTACTGCCCTAGAAGAAAGTCATCCATAGCAGAGAACCACAAAAGACTTTCACAAAACATCCATGAAACATATGAATGTAATCTCTTAGTGGACTGTTTGAGGAGAGGGGGAGGAGGACTGAAATGCAAAAAATTAAGCTGAGAGACCACTATTACAAAATGACCAAAAAACTAGACTTCCAAGAATACATAAGTATCTACTTCTTAATTTCTAAGAAAATAGAAAAAGGAAGATGCAGGTTGGTAATGCAAATCTATTTCACAAAAAGTATGCAGATTGAAGTTCCTTTTCAAAAATGTTAATCATATTTCAAGTGCTAAATCAGTAAAATACACTTTTAAAGGTCTTTGCAGTAGAATATATATTAATAATAGAAGAATATCTTGACATCTTAATCTTACACTGCATGAATTCCTATTTTCCCATATCTGAAAAAGGTAAATAAAGGTGACATAAGAATTTTGTTAATTGATGCATTTAAAACTATAATTTACACAGGTGAAAATTATCTAAAAAGAAATTTTTTTCTTAAATGGCAGCCTTACAAACCCAGTGTTTGCTTTCTCCATCCACGATAAATTGCACATAATAGCACAAAAAGAGTTTTCTGTTAATGAGAATACCAGAATCAAGGGAGGAAAAACCTACACTTAACTAGAAACTCATTCCAGTCTCCAGTTTGAGTATCAAACTGTAAATCAAATACCTAATCTCTTCCCAACTAGTCCCTTAGCCAATGCATTACAAATCACATACCCAATTTAAAAAATATTCCTCAAAATTGTTAGTAATCCATAGACAAAAAAGTTATAGCCTAAAGCTTCATGGACCATCTACCCACCCACTTCTACTTGCCAGTGGAAGAAGAATTAGTGAAAAAGGATAGAATAAGAAGAATTATCAATTCAGGGGGGAAAAAGTCATCATCGCATTACAACTATTACTTCAACACAACTCTTACAGAGAAGAGAGTATAAACCATCTACTTTACTCTTCTTCTGTTGCAGTACCATGTTAAGATAGTGAAAAATGCAGAAGAACCAGGTCCCCTGAAAGACAGTGAAGGGCCACCAGCAGACTTTAAATCATGTATAATTAACATGATCAAGCATTGTTATTAACCCCAAGGATTAACTTAAATGAAGCTTATTAGAGTGAAATAATTATTTTTAAAAATCTGCAGACATATGTGAAGACAGAACAAACAAGAACTGTAGGGAAACTTATCAGTCAGTACTCCAGCAAAAATACAAAGTCGAAAAAACTCAAAGAAATAGGTATGATATTCCCGGTCCCTACAAGGGCTCTAAGGAAAGAAGGCATGACAATGTAGCAAAGAATTCTGACTTAAAAACCATTTCTTTCTTTTCATTAAGCACAGTACATTTCCACATTGTATCCCTCCATTCATGGATCTCATTACCCAAAATGCAACAGGCTACTGAAAAAAATCTACATCATTATTTATGATCTCTTCCTTTTGACATAAAAGTGCAAAGGGAGAAATGAAAAAGAAAATACATTTCCTGATTTATTATGTATTGAACATGGGATCAATAACTTAGAAGAGATGGAAGAACTTTTCATCATCAAAAAAGAAATGTAAAAATTACAGAAGCAAGCAGCCAGAGGACAATAAACAAAACAGACTGTTTCATTAACAATCATTCTGCACAAAAACACAAAAAATGCTATTTTCTGCTTAGAGATTTAACCTGATATTGATCAGCTAATGAAAATTCAGTCAAGAGATTGTCATTTTGGTTACTGTTGTTTAAAAAACAAAACAATATAAAGCAACCCCACCCACACAGCTGGAAAAAAGCTTCTGACATGTACACTAAAACTTGTTTACCCAGGCCACTTCTTAATAAGACAAATGCTTTGCAATTTGACTAGGGTTATATAAGCATTTTACAATGTGCGATCAGTTTAAAATCTTGTTTATTAACTCCCTAGTTTACAGATAGGTTATTTTACTACAAGGTTAGGTTTGCCATATGGCATTTTTCCAGTTTTAAAGTTTTATTCCATCAGTCAGCACTGCAATGGAATTTGTCATTAATTTTATCTCCCTTTCCTTTAAACAAAGTAAAAGATTTTAAAAAATTATGTTGACATATAATGAATTAATCATTTCTTAAAATAGCTGTTCCCAGAAACATGGTGGAAAAGACAGTAAATTTCACAGTGATTTAACTATAATGTCAAAACCTAGATACTGCAAAATAATACTGCCATTTAGAGACACGAAAAATTAAATTTAAATTTCAACATGCGGACAGCAGGGCATCCCTCCCACTGTTGTATATTCAAGAAATTCTCACATACACACTTCAGCCACCGCCCCCCACTCTTTTTTTAAGGCTATCAAAGATAAGGCTTTCCGTCAAAGGACACATTTTATTTTGCAAGAGAATGGCTAAGGCCAGCAGGTAAACTAGGCCTCCTAAAACGAAATACTTTCTAGGGAGAAACAACTGTAATATAGTGGAAAGAGGACTAGGACTAGGAATTTGAAGATCTGATCTCTCCAGACCAGCACTACATGCCACTCTTAAACTGATCAGATTTTTTTGAAATTGAGAAATGGCATGGAACTAAACTTTTCTGAAAGAATAGAAATTGCCTCAACGTAGACCTAACAATATTTAAACCTGGCGATCTGGATGAAAGATCTGTCCCGAACCACAAATCATTACACAAACCTCTGCCCTCAGCAACTAAAGACAGTACAGGCCCTCTTAACACATAAATGCAAATTTCAAAGTATAGGCAGGGAGAAGGTACAGCCTGGAGAAACTGAGTGTGTATATATATTCTTTTTCAAAGAATTTTAAATTTTAAAAAATCTAAATTAAAACTAAACGTTTAAATGTTTGGAAGCAACACCTCATCTAATAGCAACGTGGTCCAGTGCTTATGAATCCAAACTACTCTTAAAGTAAGAGGAGTCACTCTGCCTACAGTTATTCGGCATCAAGCACCTCCACCGGGCAGAGGGTTAAAAGAGGACCACACCACAGACCAGACCGCCGTCAGAAGAGTGGAGGGGGGCCCAGCCCTGCACGGGCATCGCTCCAATAGAGCTCGGGGCAGGGAACCCCCAACTCCCACCCGCCGGCTCTTTCCCTCCCCCTCCGGTCTACAGCGTTCCCCAGGGGTCGGGCCCCTCCCCCAGGTCATTCCCCTCCCCCACCGTCCCTAGCCGCCCCCGCCCCGCCCCGGCGCCTCCAGCTCCAGCTACGTCCCCTCAACCCTGGGTCTCCTCAGTTGTCAGCTCCTTCAGCCCCTCCCCCTTTAGAGGCGCCCCAGTCCTCCGTCTCCTCACCGGGGTTAGCAGTAGTCGCCGCCATGGCCGTAGATGCTACCGCCGCCCCGCCACCCCCCAGTGGGAGGAGCTGCCGCTACCGAACCGGGGGGAGGGGGAGAGAAGAGCCACTCCCCAGAAGCGGCGCCTTACCGCCGCCACCGCTACCGCGGAATCCAAGATGGCGGCTTCAGCAACCCCCACCATCCCAACCCCTTGGTGGAGCGGCCCCGCCCACTGAGTGGGCGGAGTCAACTAACAGCCAGCCTCCTCGGGAAAACTGACCAATGGAAACGCCAAAACGACCAGGGGCAGGGCTGGTCACTGCGCTAGACTGTCCAGTAGAGGGAGGGCGAGAAAGAAGTCCAGCTGTCTCCCTAATCCCGCCTTCTTTGCTTAAGAGGTTGATGGCTGAGTGACGTCAGTGAAAAGCTATCAAAGTGGGTATTTTGCTGAAGAGCTCGTTTTTCTTGGTGCGTTCGTCAGAGTAATTAACCTGCAAACGGTCTACTTTCTAAATCTTTAGGTGCTTTAATATTTAAACTTCACGTGGTGATTTGTAATCTTTTCTAGTTTTTTTTCTCTTCTAAAGACCTTTGCCCCTGGTGAAAAAAGTTCTGTGACTAATTTTTTAATGCTTGCTGTGGAACTGTCAGTGTAGGATCTAGGCGCTTACGGTCTGATAAGGGAGACACCAACAGCCAAAACTGGATGCAAAGGGTGAAAAAGGTATTTTGATTAAGAGTGGGTAACTTCCTTTGGTCAATGATAAGGAGATAGTGAGGGTTTTTTTGCAGGAAATTGATAAAATGATAGCTGCACGGATTTATTTTCTTATAATAGGTAGCAGTGAACACTTTGGGCCAGACACTGTCCAAAATGCTTTATATAGCCAGGGCAACATAGCAAGACTCTGTCTCTACAGAAAAATAGAAAAAAATCAGCTAGGCGTGGTGGCCCAAGTCTGTAGTCCCAGCTGCTCTGGAGGCTGAGGCAGGAGGATCACTTGAGCCCAGGAATTTGAGGTTGCAGTGAGCTATGATGATGCCACTGCCTTCTAGCCAGGGCAACTGAGGGACACCCTGTCTCAAAAAAAATGCTTTAGGCCAGGTGCGGTGGCTCACGCCTCTCTAATCCTAGCACTCTGGGAGGCCGAGGCGGGTGGATCGCTCAAGGTCAGGAGTTCAAGACCAGCCTGAGCAAGAGCAAGACCCTGTCTCTACTAAAAATAGAAAGAAATTATCTGGACAACTAAAAATATATATATAGGAAAAATTAGCCGGGCATGGTGGCACATGCCTGTAGTCCCAGCTACTCGGGAGGCTGAGGCAGTAGGATAGCTTGAGCCCAGGAGTTTGAGGTTGCTGTGAGCTAGGCTGACGCCACGACACTCACTCTAGCCAGGGCAACAGAGCCAGACTCTGTCTCAAAAAAAAAAAAAAAATGCTTTATATTCATTTAATCTTCACACCACTGTGAGTAGATTCTACTATTATTTCCATTTTGTAATTAAGGAAACAGAAGCAAAGAGGTTAAGCAAGGGACAACCAGCAAGTAAGTAGTGGTGTGGGAGGCAAATTGAGGAGTCTGACCCTGGAAACCTGTTCCACCCATGCCTCTGTTTTCTCACTACAGGGTACTACCTTTTCATGTATCTTTCACGTATTGTTTAATATAAATTTAATTAGAATTTTAACAAAAATCCCATTATGCTATTGAGCATCTTTGCATTTTTAGAGGTTATATGTGTTCTATAAAGATGTCATTGATCCATTTATCTCTTTTAGTTAACAGCCAAGGTATTTTAATATAATTTGCATATTATTGTATACGCTTGTTAAAATTTCATTTTTCTTTCATTTTGTTGTGTTATATTTCTAATTCATCCACTCAAAAGAAGTACATTGAAAGGGTAGATCTCATGGGGTTTTTTTTTTACCACAACTTGAAAAAAAAGCTCCAGAAAGTTTAAAAAAGGAATATGTTTTGTATGCTTTTTAAAGCATAATA